GCCAAGGCCAGGGACATCCCCGTCGTCATCGATGCAGTGAGTGTGACTCCTCTCCTGCCCCTTCTCCCAGCCAGGCCCCTAAGGCTGTGCTCTATGTACCTGTCCTTGTCTGTAGGACGGGCTGTGGCTGATCGCTCGGCACCCAGCCCTCCTCCAGGGCTACCGGAAGGCCGTTCTCACTCCCAACCACGTGGAATTCAACAGACTCTCTGAAGCTGTGGTGAGTTAGTTTGCTGACCACCCAAAAGATGGGGCGTAAGCCCTCCCCATTCTGAGGAGGGGTGAGAGATGGCTCTGCTTCTTCCCCAGCTGTCCCTGCAGAGGCGGACTTGCAGATGGCCAGCGAGGAGATGCATGTTTCCCACATGCTAACAGTGCTCTTCTTTCTCGGTGGTGCATGGAGTGACGGGGATCTTCTCCCTCGTACATCTCTGACTGGGGGAGAGGCGGGGTGCTGGGCTCTGGGCGGAGCACTCCGTCCCTGTCCTGCGTTGCCTCGCCTGTGAACTGTGGGTCCTGAGAGCATCACTTCGTAGGGTCTGAGGACGAAACGAGATGATGAATGTAAACCCCCGAGTTCTTTCGTAGTAAGCGTCCCGTAGATGTTAGTGCGTGATTCTTCAGAGTTGTCACCTCTGCAAACCTGTGAAACTCCAGCCTTGGGCAGGGTTCCCTAACTGTGACCCAAAGGTAGGGGGAGGGTACGTGAGCGGTGTTTGCGCATCCGCCCCAGGACTTTGCTGTCCAGCTCTTCTGGGCCTACATCCGCCTAGTGGATGCGTTGTGCCTTTCCGTGTGTGGGGCTGGGGTTCTCAGCGGAGAGTGTGTGTGTGTGTATGTGCGTGTGCGTGTGTCTAAGGGTCAGGGTAGACAGGCAGGACGTACCCGTGATGGTGGGCTCCTTTCATGTGTCTGACAATGGCCTGGTCTGTGCTGTCCCACCTTGCAGCTGAGAGACCCTGGGGACGGCAGTGATCGAGAAGCTGTGCAGAGACTCAGCCAGGCCTTGGGGAATGTCACCGTGGTCCGGAAAGGGGAGCGGGACGTGATCTCGGACGGTGAACAGGGTGGGTAGCCGTGGGCTTCACGCATGTCACTCAGTGTGGTGGCACTGGACACCAGCCCCTGGAAAACCACAGTCACGGCACACGCGGTCCTTTGTGTCACCCATGTTCCACACACGGGGGCTTCCCGATGAGCTTGGTTTTACTTCTCAGTTTTGCAAAGGGCGGGGAGCACGCCGAGCGTTCATCCTTGTTGATGTCCGGTACGGCGGCTAGTTCTGTCGCCGTCTGGAGGAAGCCGTGCGGCGAGCTTGCGGTCCTACCGGCAGGTGGCGCTCCAGGGCCCCCGGCCCGCCTGCCAGCGCCGGAGAGGCAGTTACCAGAATATTCCATGCATCTTGTTCTGCTTTAAGAAGGGCTGGAAATGAGGGAGCTGGGAGCTGCTGCGGGTGGAGGGGTCGCCAGGCGCTGGATGCGTGGCAGCTTCCGCCTCGTGCTCTCCCCGAGGCCTGCCGGCTGTCCAGTGGGAACAGCAGGGGGAGCTTAGGGCGGGTGTCCGTGACTGTGAGGTGTCAAGCCTCCCTAGTGCCCCGCGGCCAGGCCGTCCCCTCATGTAGTCTGAGCAGGAGGCAGGGAGTGCACTCGTCGTTGTGATAGGACGTCATACAGAATTGCTGTTGTGCTGTAGGCCCGCTGACCGGGGAGCGGGAGGCTCACTCGCACGCACGCCCCTGGACGACAGGAGACACCGAGGGAGTGCTCTCTGAGCGACCCGGAAACCTTTGGGGTTCATGTTGCTGAAAAGTGCTCTAGACTCTGACACATTGAGGGGATATAACCCTGCGCTTCCCGAAGTGGCTGCTGGTTACACGGCATAGAAGGATGAGTGGCCGCCGGCTGGGTCTGCGCAGGGCACGCACCTCCTTGAAGATGGCGCGTGTCCCCGAGGAGCCGTGGGCAGCCCAGACTCCAGGGGCCTGCGGCCCGAGGACCCCGGGTACCTGCGCGCCTCTCCCCATCTGCTCCGGCGGGCCCGAGTGGGACTGGTCTGCTCACCGCTTGCGCTGCACAGGCAGGTGCTTCTGGGCCGGCCTGGGCCTGCTCTCCTGTAAACCGGGCCGCCTGGGTACTGTCGGGCACAGGCGAGCTCGTCCGACGGCCGTGCCCCTCTTGCCCCGCAGTGCTCGAGTGTGCGCTGGAGGGCAGCAGCCGCAGGTGTGGTGGCCAGGGAGACCTGCTGTCGGGCGCCCTGGGCGTCCTGGTGCACTGGGCGCTGCTCGCCGGACCCGAGAAGACAAACGGGTATGTGACATCTTCACTTGCCCCCCCCCGCCCCCTGCCCGAGAGTTTTGAACCATGTGAGCCATTCAGGTTGCCCATACGTTTAACGCGTAGCCTCGTGAAACATCGGTGTCCCGTGGAAGCGATCCCAGGGCAGGGGTGCTCTTGCTCTGCGGGCTCCTGTCTTCTATACCTATCGTGGGACAGTAGTGGCCACCTGCGCTGGGGCGGGGTGTCCTTGGTCTGGAGCCCCCCCCACCTGTGAAGCCGTGCGAGGCCATGGGGTGGTGGCACACCGGGAGGCAGGGAGCACCTGCCCGGCGTGTGTACACGTGGAAACAGCCCCATGGGCATCTGGTGAGGGTGGCGGGAACCCACGTTCTCAGGTCTTCGGTAGTCCTCTCTGGGGCTGCAGATCACTATAAACCTCAACCAGTTGCGGGGGGGGCCCTGCCGTCTGACGCTCATCCCCCTCCAGGTCCAGCCCTCTCCTCCTGGCGGCCATGGGCGCGTGCTCTCTCACGAGGCAGTGCAGCCACCAGGCCTTCCAGAAGCACGGCCGCTCCACCACCACCACCGACATGATCGCGGAGGTCGGGCCTGCTTTCCACAGACTCTTTGAAACCTGAGCCGAGGCACCGGGAAGCGAGCAGCACGCGGACGGGGAGGCTGCGTTTGTCCAGGAACCCACATGCTGTGTCCCAGTCCTCGGGGGAGCAGAGCAGTGTGGTCCGTGGGTGGGTTTTTGGCTACATGTGGACCTAGAGATGTTACAGTGACACCAAACCAGATATCCCTGAACTTTTCTTAGCTGCTCAGCAGGAAACGAGCCGCTGAGCTTTGTGCGCTCCAGGATCACAGGCCCTCTGGGCTCGTTCGTCCCTCTCCTCCTCCCTACTCATGTGCTTCCCCTCACAGGGATCCCGTCGATCCTGTTTAAAAAGCCTCTTGTAGCTATTTTGAACACTGATTAGGTTGAAATTGGGCAGAAATAGTAAGCATTGGTGGTTGTGCTTAACTGAAATATTTCAGAACAATCAGTGATTGGTTTTTTGGAGGATGAGCCCAGAGCACGCGGGTGGGGCTCTGGGATACCCGCGGCTCTGCCCTCTCCTCCTCCTCATGCACGCACCCAAGTCCGTGGTGGCAGGAAGCACGCCCGGGGGAGTCGCGGAGCCCTCGTTTGGGATGTGGCCCATCCGTGTGCTCTCGGGAGGAGGCAGACAAAGCTGGACATTTGGAGGGCACCCGGGTGGGGGGACTGAACATCGTCATTGAAAGCGGGTGTGTCCTCAGGAATAGATTCCGTTAAAGAAGTTCTGTCTGTGAGATGCCCTGTTAGCCTCTGGTTGGCTTCTGCATGGTGCTTTGGGTGGATGGTTTTCTCTGCGGCCAGAGAGCTGCTTCTCCGGTGTCTTTCTCCCTAGGGTTGGTTCCTGCACCTGTGAGTACTTCTGTAGGTTTCACGATGCTTTCTACAAGGACCGGACGTGTGTGGATCCTTTATGTCCCTCTTGGCTGATGCTCTGCGATTCAGACCCCCCGCCCCCACCCGATCCTACTTTAAAACCAGATTTCTTAAAATGTTTGCTCTCTTGTTTCATATGTAATTGAGAAGCGTCACTGTTTTTTCTTTTGGGAAATTACATCTAAATCCTGGTAACCATTAAAAGGCAAATCTGGTTTATTTCAGTGTGGAGTTTTCTATTTTTTTCTTACAGAGCCCAAACCCACCTTTCAGCTTTCCTGTCAGCAGCAAGATAAACAAGTAACAGCCTATTTGTCAGTTACAGTTCTCACCAGTGCCTACCCACCTTGTTACAATGTAGTCGTGGTCCTTTCAGTCCACAGAAGGTAAAATTCAGGAGTCACAGAACTATTTTTATGTTTTCGATCTGAGTACAGATCCTCTCGCTCAAATGGGAATGAGGAGTACATTCAAGTAGCCAGTGGCAGATTTAACAGTAACCCGTATGGACCCACTAGCTCCAGCTAAGGACATGCTTTTACCTTGAGACCAAGATCACAGAGCACGGAAGTACGCTGCAGTGGCCAGGTTCGGCATCTGGCCATCAGGGGACAGTAATCCCCCTGTACTGAAGGGACCCGGTTTGGGTGTCCTCATCAAGGGCCTACCTGCCAGGTGGGATCTTTGCGCGAGCTGGGTCACTGTCGGCAGGTCCATTTCTGAGCGGGTTTCCTTGCCTGTAGACTGGGACACCAGTGCCTTTTGGGGTCCTGAAGGTTGGTGACCAGGGGATGCGGCTGGGGAGCGTCCCCACCGTGCCCAGCGTGCACTCGGCCGCTGCGCCCACACGGCGTGCCCGCCGACAGTGCCGGACCTAGGGCAGCCTGGCCGGGGACGGAGAGCGGGTGTGGGCCGCGTGGTGTGGGCGCCGGTTCTGCCCCCTGCTCTGCAGTCTGTGCTCACACCTGGGTCTTGCTCTCACTGGTGTGTCCACCACACGGTGGTTTTCTGTGGCGGACACATTACTTTTGTAACAGAAATAAATGTAGGAAGACCACCTCCCCTCTGTGGGGGAGGGCTGCCCTGTTTGGGGTCCTCGTCCCTAGTTCGGCACTGCCCCGGACCCCCTGTAGGACTTACATCCTCCGCCCAGGGCTCACGGTCCTCCCGTGACGGCAGCCCGGGCCCCAGGGGCCAGCATCAGGACCAGTGTTGGCCCGTGAAGAATCCACTTCTCAGGCGCATGGTATCGGTTGGATTGACTTTAATGGTGACTGAGCAGCCACAACGGGAAACTTTCCTGTAAGCACAGGATGGTGCTGGGGGCCGTCAGCTCCCCGGTCTGGGGCCTTCTGTCCTCTGATCCAGCAGCTCCCACGTGGATGTGCTGCTCCTGTCCTGGGGAGGAAGCACCAGGGGAAAGTGGGCCAGTCAGGGCTCAGTGCCCGCCCGGTGCCTCCACACGGCCCTCCTGACGGCACTGGGGTCGGGGGCTCGGGACGTCCGGGCTCTGCCCGGTCCACGTTTGTGCGACGCCGCCCGGTTTGCACAGTACGTCGGGGTGACGGTGCCCAGCGGCTCACCTTGATGCTGATGCCGTGGGCGACGAGGTCCCGGCGCAGAGCGTCACACGCCTCCAGCAGGGGCTGTGTGTCCAACAGCTGCTGCCGTCGGCCCTCCCTGGTGGCCGCTCCTGTGGCCAGGGCGAACTGCCGGACCTGCAGCCGGAACTGGACCAGCTGTTCCACCACGCTGTGCAGAGTGGCCCGGCTGCCGTCCCCTGAAACAGACTACACCAGGCAGAGTGGCGCCGTCAGCAGGGCCCTGGTAGCTGCCCACACGGTGGGGCCCAGCTGGGAGGGGGTGCGGGGGAGGGGGGGGCTCGGTGCCAAGCTGACCCAGCGCACGTCCTCCCCAGGGCTCTCCTGGCCTGCACGTCCTGGTCACCAGGCAGAGCTCCCCAACGCCGCCGGCAGGTGCAGACCCAGGGCTCCCCTGTCCGCGTCCTCGGGAGCAGTCTCCATGAGGCTGACCTGGCTGGGCAGCCCTCCTCCCATCCCACAGACGCGCTACCGTCTCAGGTGGGGTCTTTATCAGCCGGCTCCCTAGGCAGAGTCTGGGAGCGCAAGCCATGCTGACTCCTGAAACCGAATCTGTTCTCTGACCAAACACGGAAAGCAACGTCCGCCTCGCGTGTAGTTCGCACACACGTACGCTCTCACTGCCTGTTCACAGACTGACCGTCTCCACGGCCAGCCGGAGGTCTCAGTGGATCAGGCCCTCTGCGACCTACACGACTTCTCCTTCCTTACAGGGAGGGGATCCTAGTGCCTGTCTGTAGAAACAACACATCCTACAACTCGGGGTCAGGCTTCTCAAACCTACAGAATCCTCGGTTACTGCTTCCACGATAAAGGACCGTGTTTATGGTCACAAAGACATGAGCCCAAAGCGGGATCCAGTGTCCGCCGTCGAGGAGGGGGAGGCGAGCAAGCAGTTTCTGACAAGGGCCAGGCACCACGCGGCCTCCACAGCACCATCTGGGAAGAGTGAGTGGTCCCAGCACACGGATGATGGAGCCCAGACCTTTCCATGTTTACGACCTGCTCACCGAGTGTCTAGAAGGGGCCTCACAGTGGAGCAGGGCGGGGAGGGTGCTGGGGAGGAGCGGGGCCCCGGGGGAGAGGAGGGGCGTCGTGCGGGAGGCTGGCCGGGGAGTGGGGGGATGGCCCAGACCCCGCCACGGGAGACAGCGAGGGGCTCGGCCGGAAAGTGTCCTACTGTGCACCCAGCTGCACTCTGAGTCTCAGAAGAGACAAGGGAAAAGAACGTGTGCAGACGGAGAGCACGCGGTCTGCAGCCAAGCGGGGCCGCGGGTTCGGCTCGGAATCCCTGCAGCGTCAGATAATAAGACACTAGCTCTGAGCCTGTTTGCTTTTTCAGGAACGTATTTTAGGCACGTAAATAAATTCAAGAAATTGTCCATTAAAATGAACATAAAAGGGGAGGAGACAGTGGGGACTACACAGAGGCGCCCTCCCCCAGGCGAGGACTGAGAAGGGCAGGGCGTACCTGTCTGTCCGCCAGAGAAATCCCGACAGTCTCGAAGAACTGTTCGACGTAGGACACGATGGAGCCAAACACGGCAGGACTCCTGGGACCGCCGGGTTCCTGTGACAGATCACCCAGAGGAGGTGCGTGAGGAGCCAAGGAAACGACGAAAAAGACATGGACGCAGCCGGTCGCTGCTCCCGTCGCCGGGCAGGGACGGCCCTGGCGGGGCCCTCACTGGCACGCCATGGAAGCCTGCGCCTCTGTCTGCCCATCTGTGAGACGGCGATCTGCTAGGGCCTGCGTGCTGGTGTCCCCCAGATCCAAATGCTGACACCTGACCCCCCGTGCGACGGTGTCGCGGGCGGGTCTCTGGGAGGTCACTGGCGCACGCACGGAGACCCATCAACAGGACTGGCGCCAGGCCCAGAGCAGGGCCGGGCTGCGTGGGCAGTGGGGTCCACCCACGGCTTCCCCCCAAGTCCTATTTCACGTGCCAACAGGCTCAGCTTCCACAGAGTCCCCTGAGCAAACGGGCGGATGCCGCCTGTCCGTGTGCAGGACCTCCCTGCTCCGGGGGAGGTGGGGGGGGCCCGGAGGCCACCGCAGGGAGCTGGCAGGGCGGCGGCTGTGCCGTCCCGAGGAGGGAGCCCCCCCACACCACCCGGCCTACAGCCCCGTCCGGGACGCACCTCAGCGGGCGCCGTCAGCTGTCTGTTCCCGTGGTGGATGAGGTCCATGACGGCGTCCACCGCCGCGGGCGTGTCGAAGTCGTCCGCCAGGGCGGCCTTCACGGCCTGCTTGGCATGGCGGAGCCTGGGAGAGACACGGTGCTCCTCAGCCCCTGGACCGGCCCGGCCCCCCCAGCACAGAAGTGACTGTGAGTTCACCCCCCGCCCTCCTAGGCCGGCCTCACAGCCCGCTGACAGTCCTGACGGGGTAAGATCAGCGCGGCAGCGTCCCGCACCCCCGAGTCCGGGGGACGCCCCTAACCCCGGTCTTAGCACACCCCGTGCACCGGCAGCGGGTTCCAGATGCAGCGGTGAGAAGTAAGGGTCACACGACAGCATGCGGCGTGGTCAGCTGTCTGCATTATGCACCACAATGTGGCCCCCCTCCCCAGGAGCACGTAGGCAGGACACCTGCTCCCACGACGACGGCCCGGCCTCCCTGAGGGGGAGGGTGGCCGCTCATGCCCCGCCCCCACCCCCTTGTGAGCTGCACCTGCGCGCGGACAGCCTGAGCCTCTGAGCAGCGGGCCTGCCGGGCGCGGGGTCCGGGGACCCTGGGGCCACGTCAGGCCTAGGACATGGCCCCCACCGGGCTCGGAGTGTGTCTTGCTTCCCGCACCGGGCTGCGGCCTCTCCACGACCTTCCCTCTGCTGCTGGAGCCCCGCCCCCCGCCCGCCAGCATGCTCTCCCCACCTCCTTTCCTTCCCCCCAGCCATGGCAAGGACACTCCGGTCCCCTCAGTCCTCCCTCCTGCACGCCTGCTGCTTCAGACACTGAAGCTTTGTCTCCAAGACTAGCTCCCCACTGCCCACCATTACTGGTCTTCACCCCACTTCCTGCAGACGCCCCGATTTCCAGGCATGGGGAAGGATTGGGCTCCTACCCGTGGAGCAAGGTGACCAGAGCCCTTGCGTCACTCACCGACAAACGCCACTGAGCGCCTGTCCAGGCACGGGTGTGACCCCCCGCCCCTCACAGCCACCCTGCACACACGGCATCCTCGTCTCTCCCCAGCAGGACCACCGACTCGCCCGAGGCACCTCCTGCACCAGCAGCCCCGGGGGACCTCAGCCTCCGAAAGCCTCTCCCGTCTCAGGCAGCCCCACGTCTGGCGCCCGCGACCCTCGGCTGGATGCTGGGAGGGTACCTACCTCTCCCACAGCACATCGTCCCTGATGGGGCCGCATACCAGCTGCCCCCTCATGTAGGCCCGGGCGTCCTCCACAAACGCGGCTGCCGCCAGGAGGAGGTGCTTGGCCTCGAGCATGGTGCCGTCACTGTAGTCGATGGCTGTGGAGGGGACGCGGGAGGCACTCTGCAGGCCTGGCGCTTCTCAGCCAGAAGCCAAGCAGCGGACGCAGGACACCTGCTCCCCCGCCCCACTCGGATCATGAGGGTCTATCCTGACCCGGGCCTCAGCACCATTCCCAATATGCTTTGGCCAAGGGGTTCACTCCTGCTGAGACAGGTGACTCTGGGAAGCGGGAGAGACCCCTGGGCCCTACACCACCTCTTGGGAGACCAGCCAACGGTGGGGACTTAGGGCTCTGTATTCCAGCACAGGGAGCGAGGACAGGCTCTCAAACTCAGTGCTTTACAGCATGTTGAGAACATGCCCTCCACCCGGGCCCCGCGTCCAGACCCACACAGAGGAGAGCTGGGGGCCGACTGGAAAACCCATGGCCTCCAAGAGACAAGCTTCTGGAACCTTCTGGCTGGGAGCTGGGATTATGCTTCCTAATAGTGCATCCTCCGGCTTCCTTTCAGGCATTAGCCCGTGTTCAGCCATTCCCCAAGCGCTGTCAGAGGACTCTTCCCTGAGCCGCCTGAGTGCGCACGGGCCTCACGTCTCGCTCACCTGACCTGTAGCTGCTCCGCATGCAGAAGAGCCGGAAGACATCAGGGGAAAACATCTTCAGAAAGTCCTAACAGGGAGAGACCAGGGAGAAATGGGAAATCAGAGTACGTACGACAACTGCGTGAGCTGATCTGGCATATCAAGCCATCAGGAATTTTTACGAAAAGCTTTGTTTTGTTTCCAGACTATTAGCACACCCCCACCCCACGTTCCCACAGGGTCTTCCCTGTTCAGTCAGTGTCTGTGGGAAAGGCCGGCTGGGGGCAAACCTGGCTCTGTGCTGATGCAGGGAGTCTGCGCTGTTGTCCTCGGGAGCCCCTTCCCACAACGCGGTGGCCAAGCGAGGGAAGGGTGCGGGGGGGGGGGTGCCCAGCTCCTGGGCCTGTGTCAGCGCTAAGATGAAGCAGGGCCCAAGCTCAGGTTTCTTGAAGAACACACCACCACCTCTGATTAAACATCAGTGAGAACCTGTCCTTGAACGGATGACTTCCCGAACGTCTATGCAAAGAAGCGTATCCCTTCTCTATGAGGAGGAATAACTGGGGAAACCTGGCAGAAGTTGTTCAAACAGCATGAAACTCAACAAATTTCCATGTGGTGGCTGCGGCAAGAAGCGCTCAGTGACCTTACGGGGGTGAGGGGGAAGGGAGGACAGCCAGCCTCCGCGGGGCACTGCTCGGCCTGCCAGGGACGTGCTCGGACACGGCCCACGGTGGCACCAAGGACAAGCCGGCTCCAGCAGGACCATCTGACAACGTGGAGTTAAGGTCAAAACCCAAAACCATCCTGTCCCTTTGTCGTGGATTCTCTGTGAGCAAAAGGACGTTCTCAGCCCTTCTCCTGTGAACCCGCTCCGTGTCTAGCAGTTACTTCTGGCCTCCCTCAGCAACAGTGACCCAGTGGGTGACAGCTGGAGGACACCGTGGCCCGGACCCCGCACCAGGGCCGGCAGGTGGCCCCCCGGGGAGCAGGTGCGCTGACAGCCTTCCTGGGGAAGGACGAGCAGACACACCACTTTAAATGCAGTGTAGTTACTACACCACAAACAGTATAAGCAGACAGAACACGAACCCTGTAGCAGACCTCATCGCTCACAGACGGCTAGGGTCTAACATGTTCGAACAGCATGTCCTCTACCCCGGTGTCAGAGACGAGGCTCAGAGAATGGAAAACCTGTCCCCGCAGCGCCGGGGGCTCCATCCCAGCTCCCAGCTCTGTGCTGCTGTCTGTGCTTAGTCCTCCTTGCGTCTTACTTGCTAGTTCACTTCCCCACTGTGGTACTTCTGAGGTCCTCCCAGTTCTCAGGCCCACAAATGGTGCTTCTCTGAGCAGTTACGTGCACAGGCTTCCTGTGCCTGGGCCACGCCGTGCAGCAGGACCTGGGGGCCACGGCTTCCGGGTGCGGCTCTGCTCCGCTGGACCTGAGTGCTGGTCTGGGTTTACGCCTGGAACGCAGGGGCACGTGGACGGCCGCTCACCAGCACGCACAGGGCCTTCCGGCCACCCTCTTTGCCTTTTTCCCGTACGTCCGAATAGTTTCTTTAGAATTCCTTCGGGGAAGCGCAGACTCAGCTGCTTTATAGCTTGTTACAAGTTGCTTTCCTGCAAGCACGTATCAGGGGACCAGTCCCCAACCGCCACCCCTCCTTTCCTGTGCTGTTTGGTTTTTTCAATTGCTGTTTTGCTCGTGTTGCTTTTTTCATAAGTTTTTGCCAGATGTTTGGTGTGTAGGAGTCCGGAGTCAGTGGGGAGCTGTTTCCAGCAAGGCTGAGCGGTGCCTCTCACAGGTCGGCTGTAGACCGCTCATCCGCCAGAGAAACAGATACCGCGCCACGTTCTCCAAACCTGTGCTTTCTTTGAACTGGAAACCTTTTCCTTCTCTTTTGCCTTTCTGCTCGTATTTGTGCATTCGGTTAAAAAATTTAAAGTGGTATGGCTGTTTTCTGTCCACTGAAGCACTCTGATCTTTCTAAAAAAGAGAATCTCTCTTCCATTTTAGTATTTCATATTTTCTGGGTGGCTACGTTCTCTATTTCACTCCTAAACCCTATTTCACTCCATTTAAACTCCATTTAAAATCCTAAAAGGATTTTAGGGTTTTATTTTTTAATTTTTTATTTATTTTTTTAAAGATTTTATTTATTTGACAGAGACACCACGAGAGAGGGAACACAAGCAGGGGGAGTGGGAGAAGGAGAAGCAGGCTCCTGGCCGAGCAGGGAGCCCGATGCGGGGCTCGACCCCAGGACCCTGTGATCATGACCTGAGCCGAAGGCAGATGCTTAACGACTGAGCCACCCACGCGCCCCTAGGGTTTTATTTTAAAGGGTTTTTCCTCCCAGTCAGAATATGTACTCATTCAGATTAACCTCAATGTGTATTCAGAAATCTAAGACTAGTTCTCCACAGCCCAGCAACAGGACAAGATGTTTCTTCTCACCACCGTGGGGGGCTCCCGTGAAGGAGTTACAGTACCACAAGGAGAAATCTGTGATCTAGTGTTTCTACAGCATTTGGTCCCTGGGAGCCAACTGCTGATAATAACAGAATGAAAGGACAACCACATCCAACTACTGTCCTGTTACCACTTGCTGAGCACTGGGTTTATCTTGACTGCTGGCCGCTGGTTCTGGGTGTACACAGGGTGACATCCAACAAAACGGAAAGGTGGGCTACGGACCCAGAGAAAGCATTCGCAGACTATGTATCTGATAAGAGGTGAGTACCCAGAATACATAAAGAACTCCTACAGCTCAACAGCACAAGACAGCCTGATTCAAAAATGGGCAGAAGACATGAACAGACATTTCTCCAGGGAAGACATACTGATGCCCACCATCACTCATCATCAGGGAAATGCAAATCAAAACCATGATGAGATACCACCTCACACCTGTCAGAATGGCTAGAATCAAAAACAGAAGAAACAACAGGTGTTGGTGAGGATGCGGAGAAAAGGGAACCCTCGTGCACGGCTGGTGGGAATGCAAACCGGCGTGGCCACTTTGGAAAACAGTATGGAGGGTCCTCAGAAAGTTAAAAATAGAGGGCGCCTGGGTGGCTCAGTTGGTTAAGCGACTGCCTTCGGCTCAGGTCATGATCCTGGAGTCCCTGGATCGAGTCCCGCATCGGGCTCCCTGCTTGGCATGGAGTCTGCTTCTCCCTCTGACCCTCCCCCCTCTCATGTGCTGTCTCTCATTCTCTCTCTCTCAAATAAATAAATAAAATCTTTAAAAAAAAAAAAAAAGAAAGTTAAAAATAGAGCTTCCCGGGGCGCCTGGGTGGTTCAGTCGTTAAGCGTCTGCCTTCGGCTCAGGTCATGATTCCGGGGTCCTGGTATCGAGCCCTACATAGGGCTCCCTGCTCCGCGGGAAGCCTGCTTGTCCCTCTCCCATTCCCCCTGCTGTGTTCCTTCTCTCACTGTCTCTCTGTCAACAAAATAAAATCTTAAAAAAAAAAAAAAAATAGAGCTTCCCTACGACCCAGGAGTTCCATTTCTGGATAATTACCTGAAGGAAACAAAATCCGTATCTCGAAGAGGTATCTGCACCCCCATGTTTACTGCATCACTGTTCACAACAGCCAAGATACGGAAGCAACCTAAGTGTCTGTGAATGGACGAATGGATTAGACAAATGTGATACAGACACATGTACGTACAATGAAGTATTATTCAGTCGTCAAAAAAAAAATCTGCCATTTGTGACAAATGGATGAACCTGGAAGACATTATGTTAAGTAAATAAAAAGAGAAAGACAAATACTGTAGGATCCACCCATGTGTGGAAGAAAAAAAAAAGTCACGCTCACAGAAACAGAGTAGAATGGTGCTTGCCGGGGGCTCGGGCTGGGGGAGACGGGGAGATGCTGGTCAAAGGGTACAGATTCTGAGCTGTATGATGAAGCAGCTCTGGGCCTCTAACGGACAGCACAGTGGCCGTAATTAGTAACACTGTGTCGGGTACTTGAAACTTGCACGCAGGAAATCTTAAGTGTTCTCATGTGTTAACTAACCTATGTGCAAACAGTTCACCACATGCACGCGTATCAAATCATCATGTTGTACACTCTAAATACACACAGTTGCACCTGTCAATCATACCTCAGTGAAGCTGGGAAAGATAAGGGAGGGGGGAAGCGCTGTACCTTCCCGAACCTCATTGCCCTGAATACCTGGGTCGCCCTCCCTGTTGCTGGTCTTTGTGGAGGTCACGCTTTACCCTATTCCTCCCACTGCTCAGCCTCCACACACAGCATGACCACAGCTCCCGGACAGGTGAAATGTCACCTGGCCTGTGTGCTGGGAGGCCAGGGGGCGGCGAACACTCAGACAGTGAGCTACGGGGGCGCAGGCCAGCAGGAAGCTGGGTGCAACCCCCGCTAACGCACACTGCCCTTCCCCCAGCGCCCGGGGCAGGCGGACTGACCACAGACTCGGCCCTTTGCCTCACTTCACGTGCTCGGGGGCCCTCAGAGTGGGCGCCGCTAGGTCATGTTCAGAAGGAAAAACTAAGACTTTGACAGTAAGGTAACGGGTCCCAAATCACAACCTAGAGGTTAGAAAAGGCCCGTTTTGAGCTGTTACCTGAACTGTAATGGTTGAGCTTTCCCCACGCGGACTCCAGTCTGTCAAGCAGAAAGAATCAAGTTTTCCTGCAGACCGTTCTAAAAGCCTGTCCATGGTCTCCCAAATAATGAGGACTGGCAGGAAAACCTCCTGCTAGAAACTGGGAAACCGACACGTGTTTTTTCCATGACGGACATGGCTGAGCATCCCCAGGGACTGCCCGCAAGGCCAAGTTGCAGACTGGCCAAAATACAAAGTAACAAGAGACAATAAGTACACACGCTCAAATGCACCATAATAAACAGAGAAATGGAAATTTAAAATCTAGCTGTCAATTTTCACCAAGTTAACAGGGAAAACGTTAACCAGATTAAGACTGTACGGAGTTCATGTGGATAAGGGAAATGGACACTTTCATTCCCTGCCGGCGGGAACGTCGAGCACACCTGCTATGCTACCAGAGGCTTTATCCAGAACACTCTGCATGCACACATCCTCTGACGGCCTTCATGCTACACTAATCATGGTACCGCAGCACCCCATGGGCCCCCAAGTGCTCGTGAAAAGCAATGCAGGCGCTGTAACATCTATGAACGTTTAAGATGCACACCCTCTAGTAGACAGTTTGACACAATTTAAATGACCATCAACAGGACACTGTTTAAATTAATTAAGATGCAACGGACAACCCAGCCATTCTGAAGAATTAACTCCATATGGAAGAAACTGACCCAAAAGATTCATTAAGTGAATAAAGCAAGTGCAAAACAGTTCGACCACTTGGGTGGAAAGAAAAAACCGAGAAATGTATTTACACACGTGCACTGTGCCAAGAAGCTGGTGACAGTTGCTCTGGGAGAGAACACGGGCAGCCGGGGAGCGTGGCCGGGGAGGAGGAGGGCTCCTCATGCCCCGCGGCTCCCCGGCCTTGTCTGCAGTCTGCACACTTCCTGGGGGAAGCCCACTCCTTCTAAAACCACTTGTTGTGAAGGGGGAAAAGCAAGGTGCACTCCAGGACACACGGTGCACCGCATGAGGAGGAGAAAATCAGGACTCCTACACAGACGGCTTCCTTCTGTCACAGCGAACGCTGGGAGGGTGACCTGGGGACAAGCCACACGGCAGAGGCGCACTGGGGATGGCGTCCTGGGCCCTCGGCTCAGTGCTCCCCGCTGAACTCGGACAACACTTCATGCTCTCAGAAAATAGAGGGAAAGGGAAAGGGGAAAGAGATGCCCTCCAACTGGAAACAAATTTGACAAACGAGCCTGCTGTGCAGCTAAGGGGGACGCCACCCAGCAAATTACACTCTGTGCGGGCGTGTGCCCAGCCGCGTGACCCCCGTGCCAGAGGCTGAGAGCGACAGGAAACGCAAGCCCAGCACCGGCAAGTCCACGGAGACAGAAAGACCAGGGGACGCTGGGGGCTGAGGGGGGAGGGGAGTGAGCGCTTCACGGGCGCGTGGTTTCCGTGTGGCTCGGGGAGCGTGTCAAGTAGGTGGCTGGGACAGGTGCCCAACTCTGTGAAGATGCTAAAAACCACTGAATAATACACTGTACAGGGTGAAGCCTCCATATGTGAATTATGTCTCAATAAAGCTGTTATTAAAACCAGAATTGCTAGAAAACCTTAACTTTACTCAATACAATTACTCTACTGTTAATAGGAATATTGGTATTAAATTTTACAACATGTCGATTTTAAGATAAAGCACAAAGCTGATATGCTGTTGTAAGGAAACAAGATTTTTTGTAAAAGAGGAAAAGAGCTAAAACAAGCCAGTCCCGCCGTGTAAGACTGGATAGCTCACAGTGAACTCCAGCAGCTGACGACTTCGCGCGTGGGGGTCCATCTCGTCCTCCAGCTCTGTCCCCTGAAGGGGCCTGGAAGCAATGTCACTCCAGCAGCAGCAAACACACCAAATTCCCAGACCTTGGCTCAAAATTCCATGTCCTCGCAAAGGCAGCAAAGCTCCTTGGAGAAGTGGCAGCTTTGGGGCCAGAGGCAAAGGGAAACAGGGCGGAAAGCAAGGATGCACACGGGGCATTTCCCTGGGACGCAGGAACCAGTCAAGGGAGCCTCCTCCCTGCCTTCCCCCAGGGTCAAATCTGGGATAATTTCGGCATAAAAAGGATGAAGACTGAATTGATAATACACAAAGTACAAAAGCTGAACTCCTAGCAATATTGAAAAGAGAACAACAGAGAACCCCCGTCTTTGAAGAGGAGGGCCAGCCGGGCAACAGCACAAGACAGTGTGCTTCACCAGGACTACTGACGTGCAGGACGGGGCGAAGCCCCCAGCGGACGTGAACACCACAGGCGGCAGCTGTCAGGGTACGGGATGCCCGGCGGCAGATAACCTCGCTGGCTGTCCAGGCGCACGGGAAGGAGATAAGAATCTCTACATCAGAGAGATGTGGTGGCCGTCACGGACCCCAGCGGTCAGACCCATCACTAACAGCAGGACGGCCTAGTGCTGTGGCCCCCAGAGGGCTGCCGTGTGGGGCCCACAGCACCGCGGAGGAAGTGTTCCCGCCAGATTTACCCCGACCTGAGTCAAGCCTCGAGGCCTCACTTCCAGCTACGGGAAGAACGGGAGACAGAAGAATGAGTTACATGACACCACAGAGAAACAAATACAAAATGCATGATGTTCAACAAAACTGGCCTCATGTCTTCAAAAAGTCAACACCGCACAGAAAATAAAAGGAGAGAGACTATTGTGGATCTGAAGCCAGAAACACCCAGTCACAGAGGAGCTCCTGTCTCCCCCCATCTGCTGCGGTACAGATGGACCTGGAGGGCATCACGCTGGGTGGAACAGGCCAGTCACAAAGGGCAAATGCCGCGTGTCTGCACTTCCATGCGCTTCCCAGAGTGCTCACCGTCCGTCACGAGACCAGGGAGCAGCCTGGCGGACGCCAGGGGCTGGGGAGGGGGCGGCGGGGACTTGCTCAACAGGGGAAAGGTCCAGTTTGGCCAGATAAGGAAGTTCTGGAGCTCTCTTGCACAATGACGTGAGCACCGTGCACGTAACAATAGTTACGACGGTGACTTTTATGTTCTGTGTTTCACCACAATGAAAAATACCTTCTGAAAGGCCCAAGAAGACACAGCATAGAAATGCAACACAGGAACCTTCACTGGATCCTGGTTTGAAAAAAACCAAGGCTATAAAAGACATTGGGACACATGGAAAAATCCGAACACTGAGGAGTCAGTGATGTTAAGGAATTAGTGCTGACGTTTTTGGCATCTGGGTTACACAGGAAAACGTCCTTGTTTTGGGGAGTAGCACGCAGAATGGGGCAGTGTCATGATGTCTGATGGCTCAGCAACCGTGGTGATAAAGTACACACCGTGCACGCCTATGTGCCCACCGCTCCCATCAGTACCCCAGAAGCAGTAAAGGTAGCAAAGTAACAACTCTTGAATCTGTGGCAAGTATATAAGTTTAACTCTTCTGTAGGAAAATGTGTAGAACACTGAACACTTCCAGTTAAGAAAAGCATGTAAAGACTATTTTATGAGGAGCACTGCCCTTTTGGCTTCCAGCGCCCCCATCCGCAGGGGATACGCTCCGCAGCCCCTGTGGATGCCTGAATATGTGACAGGACCAAAGCCTCTGGGTTTCCTGGACAAACATGCCTGTGAGAACATTTCATTATACTGCAGGCACAGGGATTAACGACAACAATAGGACACATACAACCGTGATGCTGTGATGAAAGTTACCGGGATGTGGTCTCCCTCTCCCTCAACATACCTTCCTGTCCGGTGCTATAGCCCCTCTTGTGATAAGGAGAGATTTCGAATGCCCCCATGACGAGGGGAGCTGAGGGGACGGACACAGGCTTGGGACGCAGCACAAGGCTGCTGGTCACGGCCCCTGGACCGCGTCCGTGAGACCGTGACCGTGAGACCACGTCTGCGAGACCGCGCACAGGGGGCGACTGTATGTAAATCTGGTGGGAACAGCTCGAGTGCTCGCGTGTTAGGGGATGAGGGTCTGGTAACTGGCCTTGCATTTTAACATTTGCAATTAAAACTACATTTGGCTTTATGGGCCCAAAGATGAGCGAAGTGTTGGAAGCGCCCCCGTGAGTTCACGTGTTTTCCGCTCATGTGGACACTCACACGCCGCCCCCGCCCCCACAGCACAGCGAAGTCGTGAAGCCACAGGCCGGCAGGTGGGCGCTGGGACAGGAAAAGGAGTAAACGGGACTCAGGGTAGCCGTGTGGGCCAAGGCCAGGGAAGAAGGTGGTGTGAGCGTCCGGACGCAGGAGGGGACAGGCAGACGTCCGTGGGGAAGCCGGCCCACGGGGGGCAGGGGACTCGGCCGAGAACCAGAATGCCGGATACCGCTGCGCTTTTACCACGAGAAACAGTAAGTTAAACGTGGCGGGAGGAGAAGCCTGTCAGGGCCGGGAGCACTGGCGATCAGAGACTGGGGTCGCCCCACACAGCAGCCCTCCGGACAGGTCAGCGGTGCCCCGTTACCTTAATGGTAATGTAGTTTTTCAGCGATTTGGACATTTTTTCTTCTTCGCCTTTCACGTGCAAATGCCCTGAAACAAAAACAGTAGTTTGTTCTGAACTCGGTGGAAGAGGGGGGAGCAGCTGGGGCTGCGGGTCAGCTTCACACGCCGCGCTCGCTCTGCAGGAGGCAAACACCCACGTCCGCGTTGCTATAGGACAGTGACCCCCAGGAGGGAAGCCACAACCACACCTGCTGGAGGGCGTGGGGTCCGCCCTGCCCCCCCGGCACCCCGTGCCACCCTGCCCCCCGTCCTGCGCCCTGGAAACACCAGCCTGAGGCCTCGTCAGCCCAGCAGAGGCCAGAACTCTGCTTCTGCAAACCAGGCACCCAGCAATATCCACTGGATTTTGGACGTTCCGAACTGCACGTCTTTGAGAAGGACTGATTCGATTTCCCGCTGCAGTCCGTTTCTGCGGGCTTCTCGAGAGCCTGGCACTCCTTCACCCCCACGTACGGAAGACAGGAGGACCCAAGTCCGGGGCTTCTCAGTCCCAGCGGGGCTCCCCTGGGCTGTACGTTCACATGGTTTACTTCCGGGGCCCCCTCTCCTGACACGGTAGGACATCGAGCACAACGGGGCTCCACGGACGAGCTTTCTGAGAACTGGTGAAAATGTGGCTTCCAAACAGAAATATAACCTTCAACGCGCACTTCGATGTAACATGTCCACACCAAACACAATTAAACATTTTTTAAGTTGACAGTCGTTGGAAAATGAAACCCATCTGACGACTTCTCTTGCATCCTTTACATCAGGAAGGAGACACAGCTGTTCCCCCAGCCGCGGGCGGCCGTGGGATGAAGGAGATGAAGGAGAACGCAGTGCCACGGGAGCACGGCCACGGCAGGTGTGCCCGACGGCTCATCCGGGTGCCGTGTCCCCGCATGTGAGACGGGACGGGGCGTGGCGCCTCGGTCGTTGGACGGTCTCTGCCCGACGGGCTCTGTGCGCATTTATGCCGCAGGTGCCTTCCCCTCCAGTCCCATGCCAGAGGGAGACAGTGGCATGTGCCGGGCCCCAGGGGTCAGCTCTGGAGCCCCTGCGCAGCGCCCACCCTGCTGGCCCCGGGTGGAACCGGGACCGTCAGGCTTTCGCCCTATTTCAGGAATCTGCCAGCAAGCCGCATTGTTGGCAGAAATACAGGGTTTCGGCCACTGTTGGGTTCCCCCCGGGAAATACGATGCCAGAAGCAGCCACTGGGCCCGCTCCGCTTCTGCTTCGTTTCTTCCCAGACTCCCGTGGGCAGCGCAGTCTCCCGTGGGCAGATGGCGGTCACCGTGGGGGCGCCTCCCAGGAGGGCTTGGGGTGCGGGAAACGCGGCAGTGGGCGCGCTCTGGGCCAAGCAGCCTCAGGGCTTACGGTCCTGGGAACCTGAGGGAAGTAACGTCAGGCAGCCCACCGCCCGCCACACGGCACACTTTTGCTGCCACCCCCGCACCGAGAACGTTCCCACATTCCACTCAGTCCGCACTTCTTCCAAAAAGGCACACTCGTAACTCCGATCCGGAGAGGCTCACATCCAGCTGCTTCAGACTCAAACGCTGGGAGAGCCAACTCTGTTTCTTCACCTCCTGGAGCCATGCGTTTGCAAATGGAGCGGTTTCACCAATAAAGAAAATTGACAGAACCGAAATAGAACAAATTAACACGAAGTCATGACTTACCAGAATGCAGAAAATAATTTCCCCACTGCCTGCACTGATGGAAAGCCTCACACTGGGCGATTTCATTCTCGTGATGCGGAAAGGCCAGATCGACCCCGCCCGAGTGGATGTCCAGCTGGCTTCCAAACACCAGACTGCAGGGCAGCGTAGAGACATGGGTTAGTTCAAATAGCACATTTACAGTTAATCCTCCCAGCCTTTATGCAACCAGCAAATGGATCGCAACTTCAAATCAATATGCATGGTAATCTAATTGATGCACACAGAAACTCAAATTGTTTTAATTTCACGAATCTCTAATTCATAGCTTTATCTCCTGGTACAGAGATTTAATTCTCTTTGTTCTGGATATAATAGATGCTTTTAAAAACATACAAAATTGGGGCGTCTGGGTGGCTCAGTCGTTAAGCGTCTGCCTTCGGCTCAGGTCATGATCCCGGGGTCCTGGGATCGAGTCCCACATCGGGCTCCCTGCTCCACGGGAAGCCTGCTTCTCCCTGTCTCGCTCCCCCTGCTTGTGTTCCCTCTCTCGCTGTCTCTCTCTGCCAAATAAGTAAAATCTAAAAAAAAATACAAAATTACCTTTTCTTTTCATAGGTAGAGTTTAGTGGTTTTCCAACTTTAACAAAAGAGCACATAAAATCAAGAGAATTTTTACTATGGCTTTTGAAAATAGAACTATTTAGCATCACATATGAATAACAAGGTAACTGAATTCAAAGCATCACATCTCTGCTCTAACACTTGCGTTCCTGAAAAACCTCAGGTCCCACAAAACTGCAGCCTACAACTAGCAGGGCTGCTGGCCAGACACTCAAAGTCTGTGTCACTGTCCCCAGAGCACCTGCCCACTAGGGCCAGGCCGGGGCCTCCGCCTGGGACAACAGCAAGAACGTAACTGTCAGCGCGGTGAGAACGTGGGCCTGTGGGCGCCCCGGGCAGACGCGGAGCTCCCAAGGCCATCACCTGCCCCTGCGCACAGAGCTCAGGGTACAGACACTCGTGAATTCTCTAAACGTGGCTAAAAACAGACATTTCTTTTAATTTTTAATTTTTTTTTTATTAAGTAACCTCTATGCCCAACGTGGGGCTTGAACTCATGACTCCGAGGCCCAGAGTCGCAGGATCTACCAACAGAGCCAGCCGGGTGCCCCCAAAATGGACACTTCCAAAGATGCCACAGCCTCACTGAGATCCCTTCCTGCTGACTCCCACTGGCCTGCTTTAGAAAGACACGTCCACACTGGCCACACCAGTGGGGGCAGGAACGCGCCAGGCCGCTAATACACATCCCTGGTGACGGGCTTTAGAGTCTCTGAGTCCTTGAAGTTCAAGCGGCACGAAGGGAGTGTGAGACCGGAGGGACAGGACCAGGGAGGAGAGAAAAGGGCCTCGTTTCTTTCTATCTGTAATGAGTGATTCATTTTTACAAAGATCTGGAACAAAGCTGACAGCGTTCGGACTTAACAAAGCTAAACGGTGAGGGCGCCTGGCTGTCTCAGTCTGACTCTTGATCTCGGGGTCATGAGTTCCAGCCCCACGTTGGGCATAGAGGTTACCTGAAAAAATAACGCTAAACTGGGTCTATGGTGTTCATTATATTAGTCTCTATCTTGTCTGTAAGTTAGACCTGTTTGAAAACAAGAGAACACCAAGAAGGAATACAAGTCTATTTTCATTATTTAGAGTTCAACAAAAACATTTAATGGTAACATTACATTTGAAATTTACTAAATCTTTTCTACCTACTGTAGAGAAATTATTTGAATCTACAAAATAAATATCTTTTTACCATGCAATATATACCCCACATTGCTCTTAAGTCAAAAGTATTTATAAACACACATAAGTGTGTGCAGTAGGGACTGAGGGCTGGACATGGTTTTTTAATGCAAAGCTGGGCCCTGCTTCGTGACGTCTCAGGAATTCCCAGGTGCGTTTCCAGAAGAGTCCTATCGACATCACCACAGGTGAGGGCAGTAGGGGAGGCCTGGTGGGAAATGTAGCGCCCCTCCTAGGTCCTCAGCAGAACGAACACGACTTGGGTAGGCAGGTCATGGAGCACGAGGCGCTCCCACCTGGGGAGGGAGTGTCCGCTCCGTGTCCACCGAGGAGAAACCAGGCTGGGGTGAGCGTCTGGGGCACAGCACTCTCCTAGGACGGTTGTTCCTTCTGACGCGCACGCTCAGACTCGGCCAGCAAACAGCACCACACACGATGACCAACTGGAGAACTGCGTTTGCTGATCTTCAAGTTTGGGTGTAGCCAGTAGTCTGAAATGTTCATCTTAATTATATTTTCTATATGTTTCTAATCTTTAAAACTGCTCATTAAAGTAAACGTCTACAATGAGCTGAAACCCATCAGATATGTGGAAATCATGGGTTACTAACGATACTAAAAACCCTCACACCTCCCCAGACAGAAAATAAATGTACAAGGTTATTCACTGCAGGTATTTGTAAGAGCAAACCACTGGGAACTACATGCTCATCTGTAGGGTCCTAGCTAAGTGCACGATGGTCCGCCCACCCAGCGCAGCACCATGACGCCGAGGCATGATGGCGGGAGAACCATCACAGGCGGTTCTCAGCACCAGTGCTGAGCGGGAAAAGACCTGACAGGCCTGCCTCCGAGATCCCGCGGGCTCAGTTCTACACTACCACAATCATGCGGGTATCACAATAAAGTGAGTCAGATGAACTTTCGGGGTTCCCAGCGCATACAGCAGTGATGTTTACACTACCCTGTAGTCCATTAAGTATGCAGCAGCATTGTCTAAAAAACAATGTACATACGCTAATGAGAAGACACTTTATTGCTTGAAAATGCTAACCATCTTGCGAGCTTTCAGCAAACTGTAGTCTTTTTGCTGGAGGAGGGTCTTGCCCGATGGGGACGGCTGCAGACCCGTCAGGGCAGTGGCTGCTGAAGGCGGGGGTGGCCGTGGCAAGCTCTTACAGTACGACAGCAATAGAGTTCGCCACATCGATGGACTCTTCCTTTCATGAACGATTTGTTCCATGTGATGCTGTCTGATAGCACTGTACCCACAGAACTACTTCCAAAACTGGAGTCCATCCTCTCAAACCCTGCCACTGCTTGATCAACTCAGGTTATGTCATATTCTAAATCCTTTGTTGCCCTTTCAACAACCTTCACAGGGTCTTCACCAGAAGAACATTCCATCTCAAGAAACTATGTTCTTTGTTCATCTGTAAGAAGCTACTCCTCAACAGATCAAGTTTTATCATGAGATCGCAGTGATTCAGTCCCATCCTGAGGCCCCACTTCTGATTCTGGTTCTTCTTCTATTTCCACCACGTCTGCAGTGACTTCCTCCGCTGAAGTCTCAAACCCCCCAAAGTCATCCAAGAGGGTTGTATCAGTGTCTTCCAAACTTCTGCTCATGTTGACACTTGACCTCTTCCCATCAATCCCACATGTTCTCAGTGGCATATACATTGGCAGATCCTTTCCAGAAGGTTTTCAGTTTACTTCCCCAGATCCATCAGAGGAATCACTTTCTTTGGTGGCTATAGCCTTACAAAACGCACTATTTAAATACTCCTTGTTCCATGGGCTGCAGAATGCATGCTGTGTGAGCAGGTGTGAGCACAACATTAATCTCGTCCATCTCCATCACAGCTCTTGGGTGGCAGGTACATCGTCAATGAGCAGTAGGGTTTTGAAAGCAATCTTCTTTTCTGAGCAGTAGGTCTCAACAGTAGGCTTACAATATTCAGTAAACCATGTTGTAAAGAGATGTGCTGTCATCCAGGCTATTTTGTTCCATTTACAGAGCACAGAGTAGATTTAGCATAATTCTTAAGGGCCCTAGGACTTTTGGAATGGTGAGTGAGCATTGGCTTCAACTTAAAGTCACCAGCTGGCTGCGTTAGCCCGTAACAAGGGAGTTAGCCTGCCCTTTGAAGCTATAAAGCCAGGCACTGACTTCTTTCCGGCCACTGAAGACCAAGATGGCATCTTCTTCCAGAAAAAGGGAGTTCTGTCTACACTGAAAATCCGTTGTTTAGCACAGCCACCCTCATTCACTGCCCTAGCGAGATCTTCCGGAGAACTTATTATAGCTTCTCCATCAGCACTGGCACTTTTGTAGAAAAGACTTCTTTCCCTTAAAGCACATAAACCAGCCTCTGCGAGCTTCAGACTTTCCTTCTGCAGCTTCCTCACCTCCCTCAGCCCTCACAGAACTGAAGAAAGTCAGGGCCCTGCTCTGGATTAGGTTTGGCTTAAGGGAATGTTGTGGCTGGTTTGATCTTCTATACAGATGACTAAAACTTTGTCCATGTAAGTAGTAAAGCTGTTTCACTTTCTTATCGTTTGTGTGCTCACTGGAGTAGCACTTTTCATTTCCTTCGAGAACGTTTCCTCTACATTCACAACCTGGCTGACTGTTTGGCACAAGAGGCCTAGCTTTCGGCCTCTCTTGGCTTTCGACCTGCCTTCCCCACTGAGCTTAATCACTTCTAGCTTTTGTTTGTTTGTTTGTTTTAAAGATTTTATTTATTTATTTGACAGAGAGAGAGATAGCTAGAGCAGGAACACAAGCAGGGGGAGTGGGAGAGGGAGAAGCAGGCTTCCTGCCGAGCAGGGAGCCCGATGTGGGACTCGATCCCAGGACCCCAGGATCATGACCTGAGCCGAAGGCAGACGCTTAACGACTGAGCCACCCAGGCGCCCTGTTTGTTTGTTTTTAAAGATTTTCTTTATTTATTTGACAGAGATAGAGACAGCGAGAGAGGGAACACAAGCAGGGGGAGTGGGAAAGGGAGAAGCAGGCTTCCCACTGAGCAGGGAGCCCATGCGGGTCTCGATCTCAGGACCCTGGGATCATGACCTGAGCTGAAGGCAGATGCTTAACGACTGAGCCACCCAGGTGCCCCCACTTCTAGCTTTTGATTGAAAGTGAGAGATGTGTGAATTCCTCACTTGAACACTTAGAGGCCATTGGAGGGTTATTAATCAACACTGTTGTGTCTCAGGGAATCGGGAGGCCCAAGGAGAGGGAGAGCAAGGGGGTAATAGCCAGTTCTGGTGCAGTCAGAGCACATACAACATTTTTCGACTAAGTTCATCATCTCACAGTGGGGCACGTGAACATGGCATGGTT